ACATTGCAATGTTTACATCATTACTTACCACCAATAAGTTCCGGTTTGATTACCCGCAGTGAAGTTATAAACAAATGCACTATTATCTGGAATAATACATTGAGTCTGACGCGAAAATAATGGATGTAAATGTCAAAAGATTTTAAATGGCAGTAAACGATGAGAAGATGGAAAGTTACATATATGTTCGTTCGATTACCTGTCCTGCGACACCATCGTAATAGGTAGTTCCTTGCTGAAAAAGTCCATGCCAATGAATCGTGGTTCCATCATCCAAGTCATTCTGAACATAAATTACCATCCTATCCCCTTTATTGGCACGTATCATTGGACCAGGGTACTGATTGTTTGACGTCCAAACCATTCTCGTGAATCCATCCGGTTTTAATTCTGCGCGAGATAATGTTAAATTATAATATCTCGTTATTGGTTCAGGTGTAGGTTCTAATGCTAGGAAAGGTTCAAAAAGGTTATCATTGAAGGTTGGGTATGCTCCTCCTCCTTCCGACTCTTGACGTTTATCTAACGCGGGTATTGCATTTGTTATCGTTGTGCATATTGCAAGAATTGATGTTATCCTCACTAATCTCATTATAATAAATTAAAAAATTTTGTTTTAGAAAAAAAAAAAAAAAAAAAATTTAAAAAGAGAATAATTGATAAATGCTATTTATAATTAATTGTATTTGAAAAAAAAAAAAAATCAATGTTCATTCATCATATATAACGTTCAAATTAATTCATTCCCGATTACCGTATAATAATATTTCTCAAAAATTCGCGCAATCAAATTTTAGATAATCATACATAGCTAAAAGTGCGCATACTTTTTTTTTTTAATAAAAAAAATCGATCGAATCTATCCCAAAACTTGAATCCATTAAGAAAGATTGGCATTTCGGTAACTCAATTATATTATAATAACAAAATAAATAAATAAAAAAGCAAGGTTATATTATTGAAAAGTTTACAAGTAATTAATTTAGTGAATCAGACTAAGCCACATCTAAACGTGCTTAAATATTCTGTGGCTAGTATGTTCAACATCCCTTTTAAAAATCTACAATATCTCACCCGTTAATAAAGAAAAAAACTGCTAAATTCAACATACCGCTAACCGATGGATTTCGAATCTAAGCCCCACTACTTTAATTGGAGGTCAAATAATTTTCTACAATTTCAAAAAAAAAAAAAAGCCCCGTAATCGAATTAATGATAGCTTACCTTATTCGTTAAAAGAATACAAAGCCACTATCATTTTGGTTTGAGCAAAAGATCATTTATTGTGAAATTAAGCCTTATTTGAAATAAGCCTCGATTATTTCCGCAAAGCCCACGAAAATCTTTTATTATGATTATTATTATTTTGCTAAAAGCCACACGGGATTAATCAGAATGCACGAAGGAAACTTGATTAAATTTACCTGCTTCTTTTCTTGATTTTTAGTTTCGTATCACTTATTTATATTTATTATTAGTTATGAGATGTGATCGATCAATTTGACATTTAATTTTTATAGAAAAACAGAAATTGCGTAAATTCGGTTTCAAAACAATCAAATATCACTAAAAAGGGTTCTTATTAACAAAATGAAGGAAATAAATTTCAAATTAATATTATATAAAAAAGAATTTTTTTTAATTTTTTTTTTAATTAACCTTTCTACAAGATCATATAAATAATTTCTGTTATATTATTACTCAGAAATGAAATAATTTTTTAATATCCCTTTAGAGCCATAAAATGCTCAAAGCCACGTTGTGTCTAAGCCACATTTTCTAAACGTGTAATCACGTGATTATATATTTGGAGCAAATGTAAGAAAATTCGCGCTTTTTTAATTCTATATAAAATTCAAATTTTTAAAAAAATAACCGCGGGTATACAAACCTGTTTTTGATCATGTAATATTTTTTTTATTTTGGAAATTTACTGAGAAATTTTTAGATAAAGTGTTTATGATCAAAAATTTTACAATACACAGCCGATAAAGTCGTATGACCGTCGGATCAAGTTATTCCTACCGCGCAACAACTTAAGTTTGTAAGGATCAAATTTTTTGAAAGTCACAATCATTTTTCTTAAGACGATGATAATTGTCCAAATTAGGTGTTTCGGATTTGTGGGGAAAGTGAAAATTCCCCGGCCGAAATGCTTCGATTTTGAAAAGTTACGTCGTGGGAATTCTTTCTAAAAAATAATCGTAAAAAAATATGTCTTTTAGTTTGAAATTTGGTGTATAACTTTGCATTAACGGAATAGAAGAGTAGTGTGGTACAGTGGAATTGCAGCAATTGGAATGTGTAATCGTTTGATTGTTGCGAAATAAGTCGCGGGCGGTTGTGTACCAATGTCCACATAGCCTCAATCATTTTTGTGATAATTAAGAAGATTGTAATAATTTAGTCTCAAAAAATTTGTAGAAGAGAAATACTTTTCTTTTGCATTATACATAAAATGCTTTCTTTACAATCTTTTATTTTTCTTTTAAGTCTATCACGCGAAATTTCATTTGATGAAAATCAATAATAAACAAATCTTAAATCATTATACATATTTGTCTTAATAAAATTAATAAAATTAGATATCGTCATTTTGAATTCATAATTTGCTTGCTATCAGTTAAATATAGGATAACCTGTAATAAATAATAATTTTTTATTTTTGTTTCGGTGGTTTATCATTCATCTAATTCAAACGATAAAATGTAGCATTAAAGCGTAAGGACAATTAATATTTGTGAATGAATAATTAAGTAGCATCATAATAATTTAGCACTTTTAAATAAAAAGGAATAAAACTGGTTTCACGTGACAATTTTTTAAAAATAAATTCATTATATTGTTTTTACGATAAATCAAAACGGATTTCACATAGAACAATATAATCTTTCAACAAACATGTTAGTTACTTATAGTGCTTATATCTAAAGAAAAGAAAACATTTCATAAGATGTTTTCATCTTCTTTTCCCGTAAATCCGCCTCCAATATAAATTCTACCATCTCACATTACTGAATCATGACAATTGTTTGTTAATGATTAATAATTTAAATTCGTGGTGGATACTTTATTGTATTCTACTAGCCAATAAAGAGGTACCTTAAGTGGTAAAGTTCAATAAAAATAGTTTTTGATCGAAATGAAGATATAAAAGCTTTAAAACTAAGAAATTATAAGTGAGAAAATTGTATATTGGTTTCATTAAAAAAAAAAAAGCTTATATATACCAACCTTTTTTCCAAAGGAAAAAAAATAATTAATTAATTAAATAAAAATAATACCATCCCTTTACATGCATTATGAGTACTCGTCTCAAAGTCGTTAAAATACTCTCTATACGCCACTATTGAAGGTTTATTAAAGAAACATATTTATTCGAAGGAAAACAAATAATAAGGTATTACTTAGAGGTAATAAAAAAAAAATAACTATTTATGATTATTATAATCTAAGTCTCTTCTTCCAATGCGATGCCTTATGCTGAAAACAAATTTCTCTCGGAGATTCTTCACATTGATGTTTTATGTGGAAGTAGAATTTTACCCATGGATGTTTTGCGGATTATAACCGCTTCTGCGGAAGTTGACGTTATTCATTTGTGAAAAAAAATAATGATTTATTAGTCGTCGCCTCATAATGCTTTACCATCCATATCGTAAAATACAAAGTTAGAATAAAAAATACATCGAAGCAACATGATCTTCTCTATCAACAGGCCAGATCAAGTATTTTTCTTTTATTTTTTTTTTAAGAAAAAATAATATATATTAAATAATTTATATAATTTAAAGAAACTACTTTCACGGGATCTAGAGGTAATCAAAGATGAAATTGCTACTTGTAACATTTATCGGGAACATAGAAAAAAAAGTTTATAAACTTCCTTTTTTTCAACCGCTTTAAAAGCTGTAATACTTTGTTAAAATGGAACTTTGTTCAAATGGATGATTATTAATTTTTTTTTTAGTGGTGATTATGAAGAAGAAACTAAAGATAGGCAGGTAAAATTTTAGAGGATTGGTATAATAGCAGAAAGGGAAATACATTTCATAAAATTAAAGTAAATGGACTTCCCCTGCGTAACCTTCAAAAAAATGGCCGGCACATGTGACGTATAATGGTGACAAATAGATTTTTAATGACTTGAAAAATTTCTGTCCCCATAATAATTAGTAAAGATGAAACGCGAAGGGAAGTGACACCGGTGACAAATTATATCACGTGAAATTTCGTTGAAGGTTACGCAGGGGAATAGTGTTCAGACCCGGATTGATAATGGGTAAACCGGATCCATCCATTAGCAAAATCCCAAACCGGGTCAACATTTGATAAAAAATTTTCTGTCCGGTTTCTAAATCGGGTCTAAATTGGTCCTCACTATTATACTATTCTTGGAGATTGCAGTTGCTGCTTTCTCCACTAAGATAATGTATATAAGATGAATTATAAATAATTTTGTTATTTTTTTATTCTTCCAAGAAGAATATGTACCCCCATCCCCATCAAGTTCAAAGACTGCTTTTGTGATAATTTGTACACTGTGCTTTCTTTAGGTGCTTTGCATGAACTAGCTTAACGGACATATAGGCTGCTTATATTATATTTTGTAATTTATATTGTACAATTGAAATAAATGTATATAACTCATTTAGATTTAAGTACTAATTTTATTAAGGTAATATTCGCGAATTTATTTTTTATTTTTTTATTTTTTAATAAGACTACAACATACATCTTTACTTTTAATTCAAATATTAAGAACTATTGACAAAGTGACGAGCCGAAGCCAACAAACCATTATTTAGTAATTAGTCAACAGGGTGAATGGTATTAAAATTGGATGAGTTTCTCTTCAAGAACATAATCTTTTTGAATAAATTTGGTTTCATCCGCGTATTTTTATTAGTTAGTAAGTTCCCTGCATCGGAAAGAGGCATTCACTAGCAGTCAAAATTGCTGAAACTGCAAGGTATTTTTGAGCAAGACTTTTTTTCACTTCACCACGTGTGAGGATTCGAACCTAAAGAAATTTCTTGTAGCCGAATATATTCTTCAACTTCATTAATAACAGCTACTTTAGTTTTGGAGAGTCGCGCCACTAGAGTTTTCGTTTTTGTTGAAGGTTTTGATTGAGATGTTGATTGAGTTAATGAATTAGTAATAAACGTTTGATAATTCTCTTTTTCATTTTCAAATAATCCTTGTAGATGACATTTAGTTTCGATTTGTTGAGCCTCCGAAGCAAAATCAAGTATCGAAGGAATTAGACTTCCATTAGTAAGGGTTGGATAATATTTTTTTATATTTTTATATAGTTTTGATTTGACTTATCTAGCAAATATATAATCCTTCACTTTGTTTTAGACTAATAAAAATAACTTATCCCATCAGTATTATGTATATACTAGTAAATTTTTTTATTACTTACTTAAGGTTGCTTGTCTAAACTCATTTTGGATTTGGCAAAATGTCTATACTATAGTTTCGCTAATTTTTTACTAAGGTCTTGATATAGTTTCGCATTTTTATAAGCTTTGATATAATTTTACCTTTTCCAGAATTTCGCAGATTTTTTAATAAGGTTTTAATATAATTTCGCTAAATTTTACCTTTTTCCATTTAGACGACTTGCAAAACCTCTAGGTTTTATCCAGTAACCCTATACTTACTACATAGGTTTATAATAAGTATATAAATATTAAATATTTATAAATTTATATTAAAACAATACCTATTTATTATATTAATTTTATACAATTAGTAAATAATACAAATTAGTAATGAATATGAAAATACACATTCATGACTGAATTAGAAATAGATATCTTTGAAAATTCTGATTGTAATTTTCTTTTTTATATATATTAAATTGGAAACATCTTTTAATATTTGTCTTTTTTTTGCTATTTTTTTTTTAAAAAAATATAGTTGAAATTAAAATATAAAAATAATTAAAAGTATGAATTACAAATGACTTACTTTTATTATTTATATGAATTTTATTATTTGAATCGGATTTTTATTACAATTTTCTTCAGAATCTAGCAAATTTTCATTTAGGCTTAAATCCTTATTATTACCTTATATTTTCTGAAAATAAGCACTCTGTGACGTGCTTCTTTTATAATAATCTATTTATTTGTCACATAGAATTTATTATATTATTAATCATGTATATACTAACAAATTTATTTTTATCATATAATGTTTATTTTCAGGACTATATGGTATTTAATTACTCATTTAGTTTATTATCAAATATTCTTATTTTTCATTTGTTTCTAAAATTAAGATCATTATAGTAATTGTTTAAAAAATTTAAAACATTTAACTTATTATTAACTGAACAATTTGAATTATTATTATCATTTAAATTAGCTTATGAATATTTAGAAAAGTATTCAAATTCTTCAACTTCAATATCTTTAAAATTTAAAGGTATTAAATTAACAGTATTTTAAATTTTTTTTGCTTTAACTAAATTAAATTTTTATAAGTTCTTACTCCTTTTCACGATCTATAATCAGAAAATTATATAATTTTATTTTTTAGAATATCTTTATCTTTTGCATTTGAATTGCTATTCTATGATAATAATGATTAACAATTTTTTAATTAATTTTATTAAATAAATTATAACAATATTTATTTATTTCCTTTTTTGATCATGTAGTTTATAAAAAGAATAATAAATATGTATCTAAAGGTCTTATTAATTTATATTTTAGAATATTATATATAGGCTAATAAATATTTTCTTAAAAATCTGATGAAATAGAAAATTTTCATGACACTTCATTGGTTATTTTTTTAATAAATATTTTTAAGTTTAATTTATTATTTTTTCTTTAAGTAATTTATTGATCTTTAATGTTATAGGTATTAATTATCATCACATAAATCAAACAATAAGAAAATTCAAAAAATACTCTTTTAATTAAAAATTCATTATTATCATTATTCATTGATAAATAATCCAATATTTATTTGATTTTCTTATTTAATTAATAAATCAACTTATGCAGTTTTTTCAAATCCTTGAATTTGAAGTTATTTTATTTTACCAACTAAATTTTAATTGCTAAAGAAAAGGCATACTAATTTTAAATTTTATATAATTTAATTATTGACTCTTCTTTTAAATATTTTACTATTGATGAATAACAATTATATACAAATTTTACTTGTAGTTTTAACCATTTAATTTTTTAAGTCATGTAATAAACTTATATAAAAATTCTTCAAATTCTTTGTAAGTATCATATTCATTAATATTTTTTGTTAAATTAGCCTTTTTATTAAATTTATCAATCATACAGTAGCGGTCATAAGTATCCGACCGCCTCTAACTCCGGCTACAAGTAAGTAAATTCAAAATTTTTTTTTTTA